TCCTCAACAGCCTGCTCCTCACCTCCCCTCGTCCCCCTCTCTGCATGCGCCTTCTCCAGCCCGCCTGACAGCACGTGCTCCACGAAGAACCCAAACCCTTCCTGCAGGTCAGCACGCTCCTTCACCCCCAGCACCTGCACCAGCACGGACGCAGCACGGTCATTCTCCTGCTGCCGGCCCGTCCCCAGCTGGCTTGCTAGAGCCGGGTAGACGGCTCGTAGATATCCACGTGGGCCTTCCACATGGTGTCAAGGCGCGGCCACCTCGCCACCAGCACGAGGAACGCAACAAAGCTGACAGCACGGCGGTAGGCGGCCCAGCAGCTGCTGCAGCGCCAGCAGCAGGACCACGCTGCAGCAGCACAAGGGATGGCAGCAGCAGCAGATGCAACAGAAAGAGACGCCGCAGGGGAATCCCCAACGCAAGGTGCAGTGGTGAGAATGGCAGGCAGGCGGCAGCGGATGCGGTTCAGGTCCATGAGCACGCCCACACGCGGCTCTGCCATCCAGTCCAGCAGCATGGCTTCCACACACACGAACGGAGCAAGAGCACACTTGCAGGAGAAGTGTGTCCCAGGCGATGCCCCCTCGCCCTGCTCGCCGAACGCCTGCACGCGCGCCGAGTACTCCACCACGCCCTCGCTCACTCCACTGCGCCGCGGCGCCAAGGGGGTGGCGTCGGGCAGCTGCTTGTGCAGGCGGGATCGGAGGAACGTGAGGCTCTGCATGGTCACAGCGCGCTCGTCGCCCAGGCTGAGGGCACGGTCGAAGCAGCAGTCGCACTCCTTGAGATCCCACCCGCGCCTCACGTCCAAGTAGTGAAGCATGTCCTCCCGACACACCAGCTGGCGCGGCCCTGCTCCTTGCTCACTGCCCACTCTCGCTGAACCCCTGGCTTTCGCCGCAGATGCCTTGTGGGCTCCAATCGGCAGCTGCGGGAGGCCATATCGCCTCATAATCTCCTCATGACCGCGCCAAATCGCCTCCTTCAGTTCCGACAGGCCTGCCCCACAGGTCCCGCCACGATTCAAGGGCTTTGACTTGGTTCCAGCGCCGCTCCCTGGCGTGACTCTGTGCCGCGGCGCACGCTCCTCGTCGTCCTGCTCGCCCTCGTCGCTACTGGAGCCGATGTGCTCCCACTTGCTGTAGTCAATCCCACACCGCCTCGTCCCCGCAGCAGCAGGTGCAGCAGCAGTGGGTGTAGCAGCAGCGGGTGTAGCAGCAGCAGCAGCGGGTGTAGCAGCAGCAGCAGCGGGTGTAGCAGCAGGAGGAAGAGAAGTGGTAGCTATAGCAGGAACCGCAGCAGCAAGTGGGGCAACGGGGGGAGAAGCAGCTAGAAGAGCCGGACTCACGTCTGCAGCAGGCAGGGGCGCAGGAGAACTCACACCATCTTGACCTCCGCCCTTGATCGTTCTCTCGCCCTCTCCACGCACTGCCTTCACGGGAAGCACCTTGACGGTCACGCCCGGCTTCAGCTGCGCGTGCTGCACGGTGCAGTCGGGCGACAGGTACACAACCTGCCCCACCACCATGAACCGCACCGCCTGCGTTCCACGCACCGCCGACTCGTCACTTTCCTCACCGCCTTCCACGCCGTCGTTGCCTCCCTGCTGCGCGAGCGCTGCCTCGCTCGGAGGCTCCGCGGTTCCTCGCGGCGCCTGGCGTGCATCGCATGCGAGCGACAGCAATCGGGCAGGTGCGAGCGGAACAGTCTGTTGAACACCGATCGGAGAGATTCCTCGGGCGAGGCGGCGACGTGGACGTCCACGTGGGACGAGAGCGATGGATTATCGCCACATCGGCTGCCACTGCTGTGATGGTCGTCGGCGGATCCGCGGGGAACCAAGCCTCTGGGAATCCGAAACCGAACCTCAAAAGCCATACTTGCACTCGAGGTAACGTCGAATGAAATTAATCACCAAATCACTAATTAAAAGTAGAGTCGCTCTGTTCGCCGCAAACGGTGTTCCCCATATGTGCCTGGCCTTCGCTGTGGAATGCTGTCAGCTGAGCTGAATGGGTACCACGGAAGAATCGTTCTAGGAATCCACTGAAATTCGCTTCACTCAAGATTCAGGGTTACATGTGTCGGGGTTGCATGTGTCGCGGTTTCGCGCGCCGAGCTTCCTTTTATTGCGGAACTGGTTACTATGGTAACGGGCTGTAAGGAATTGCAATTCCTTACTCTACTCGCACTTTAGCGAGTACATTCCGAGGAGCACGCGTCAGCCCGGTTCGGCCTATTTCGTCGCCCCAAACCACTCCCGAGTCCGCCCCGCCCAATCGCAACCATCACCGAGCCATTTTCGCCCTACCTCTTCGCCTACCTAGGACTTTCCCTATTTAGTCTCGCCACTTTGTGTGTATCGTCATTCTGTAGTTCAATATTCTTGTTATTCGTTTTACTGCGCACTCTGCAAGTTCATTCATAACACCTGGTATCAGAGCTACTTTCATAGCCTACCTCGCTTGTTAGAATGTTTTTCCCCTTTGGGGAGGGGGGATGAGGAAGGATGTCTTGGGGTCAAGGAGTTGCGTAGGCCGGCCAGGAGAACTAGTTAGTTGCTTCTTGCGGCTATAGTTTTACGGGGCACTCATACCTCGGCACCGCCAGATCCTTGCCTTCGACGGTCGCGATCGACCGTGACCTCCCTCCCCCGGGGCAGCGGGTAGCAGTGGCTGTCGCGATGTAAAGTGTGTAATTCTCGCTGCGTTTTCTCGACGATTTCGGAGGTTAATTCGTGTGGCAGCTGGCGTCAGCGGACCTGCGTCGGCACCTGCACGAACAGCCTTGAAGTCGTCAGCATGAGTGGCAGCTGCCATCGGCAGACCTGCGTCAACAGCTGCGCGAAGATTTCGGAATCGTCTGTAAGCGGCAAGTGGCGTCGGTGGCTCGCCGTCATCTTGCGCGCGAGATTCTCGGGAGGGCCTTCGGCAGCTGGAGACAACGGGCATACGTCAGCAAGGGTGTCATTTTCGGAGCTTTCGAAAAAAAAAAAAAAAGGAAGGGGCAACTAGAGGGACTCGCCAGGCGCTAAAGTAGTTGCGTCTGAAAAAGATGGTGACGAGGAGAGACGCAATGAGGACTGCCCGATTTATGCGGGAGTCAACTGCCGTCCCTCCCGACCTGTTGAGTGCAGCGGCCTTTACTGCATCGGCGGGTGCGTCATCAACGATTTTGGCAGAAGTGCATGTGGACAGACGGGAGCTTTGGACCCGCCGACACTTACGGGCTGCAACAAAAAGCGTGTGGCTTTACCACACTAAGCGGAAGTGGGGCGCAGGCGACGAGGGAAACCAAGGCCCGTACACCTCGCAAACAACTCGTGCGACACTGCGTACCTGGTGCTGCTGACAGCTGGCTGACAATCTCGAGAACAGATCCCCCATACAAGGAAGTCGTTTTCGGAGACAAATGCAAATAGCTCACGATTTAACGACGTTCAAGGTATCGGCCCGACATTTACGGAGGCGTCGGTCAGGCCGCTGGGACACACGGGAGGAAACTGCCCAACGGCTAAGCGGGGGTTGAAGAACGTCGTGGGGAGCAGATTAAAAGCCGGTGGAACCGATTTGCGTCCCTTCCTCGCCCGAACCTCACCGTCCCCGCCGATTACTGGTTCCGACTCATGCAGTCGACCTTATTCGGATGAATAACGGGGGTGAACACGTGCCTACCCTGTGCTGGTTGAAGGCACCTTGATTGGTGCTCGTTCGACAGGTGTACAGAAAAGACAAAAAAAAAAGTGGAGCTCGCGGCAAAAGCGGGCTGGGTGAACGGCACGCGAAAGTGTCGGGGAGCTGCGAGGATAATAGCGGCACAATTTATAGGTTTCTCCTGAGCCGGGCGTCTACACGAGTTGACGGCGCAGCGGTGAAGCTGAGACCGGGAAGCTAAGGAGTTTTCGTGGCGTGATAGGCACTGCAGGCTGCAAAACGGTTGGGCGATAGTTCCTTTTAACTAAGGCACCCCGACTCCGATAGTTTTTGCCCCTCCGCCGTGACCAAGGTTCACGCGGACAAATCCGACGATACCCCATCCGACAAAAGCGGACGCTGGGTGAACGGCGAAGGCGAAATTGTCGAGGGGTGAAGACAAAACAAATAACGGAGGGAAAGTTGTGGGTGATCCAGCAGATCACTTGAGTGAGAGGTTGCGTCGCGTCTGCCTGTCTCGTCCCGTCACGTCGCGGCTGTCCCGCCCCGTCCTCGCCCATTGCGCTCTGCGCTCTGCCCGTCCGCGCGCGTTACGCCTTGCCCGTCCGCCTGTCGCGCCCGTTGCGCCCTGCCCGTCGCGCCAGCTGCGCCCTACCCGTCCGCGCCTGCCGCGCCATGCCCGTCGCGCCCTGCCCGTCAGCGCCTGTTGCGCCCTGCCCGTTGCGCCCGCTGCGCCCTGCCCATCCGGTCGCATCGCGCCTGCCCTTTCCGCCGTGCCGTGCCCGTACTGTTGCATCCCTCCCTTCTCGTCACGTGCCACACTGCTTGCCGCGCCCTACTCCGGCTTTCTATGTGATTTTCCACTGTCTTTCTCCACGCTTCCACCAAGGCGACACCTATAGTCCTCCGCTTTGTCTCCCAGAGAGTCAGGTTCAGGCAGACGAGTCCCTGTGGACGCACGCTTCCGGTGACCTCCGTGCGCCCCCCGATCCTGATTCCTTAGGCGCTGACGCCTCCACTGCGGACAGAGATCGTGTTGCACGCCAGCGTGCTGCCCTGACAGCCTGGAAGTCACGCGACGCTGCAGCCTGTATTGACCTCAGCAGCCTCCTCCCCAAGTCTGAGGAGACCCACTTTACCCACGTTTGCACGGCTAGTGAGTTGACTACGATCAAGGCCCGCTACGCTACTCCCACCACTGTCTCTCTTGGTCGCTGTTCCTCCCCTTCCCGTTTCCTGAGCTCGCCTTGTTTGAGTGTTCTGTTGACTTGATCACTCACATGCGTTCATCGGATTCTAGCTACCGCGCTGCCTGCACTGACGCACAGCTTGCACTGCTCCCCCATGGCGATTACTATTTATTTCATCGCCACTAGCCTCCCTGACCGCCTTGCCTCGGTTCGTGACGCGCTTCTTCTGAAGCACCCTAGCGAGCTCGTTATCAGCGTCCTTGAGTCTGCCCTCAAGGACATCGAGAGCAACATCCGCTCGGTAGCCTCTGCCTCAAGTGCTGTGCCCCCCCCACTGTTCCACGGGTGCACTGTCCCTCAGCTGCCCACCTTTACTGCCTCCCTCGCCACTGCCGCTACTGACGTGACCGCAGCTGCTGTAACGACTTCTGTGCGGTCTAGAGCTCGGAGTGGCAGGAGGGGCGGCCAGGGTGCGGGCGGCAGCAGAGGCGGCGGAGGTGGCGTTGCGGGCGGCGGTGGTGGGAGTGCAGGAGTTGGTGGAGCGCCTGGTGCCGCGTCTAGTGACTCCCCTAGTGCGGCTGGTGGAGGTGCCACTCGGGTTAGTCGGGCACCTGCGAGACTGAAAGCTGTAGGTGCTGGAGTGGCGGCTTGGTACCTGGCTCAACGACAACAGCAGCAGCCACTCCTCTCGCAGCAGCCACAGCAGCAGCAGGGGCAGCAGCAGGGGTCAGGACCGCGTCAGCTGTCGCGTGGTGACGCCCACCCTTCCTGCCCCTATATCGTCCAGACAGGTACTCGCAGCGGCTTCCGCTGTGACCGCCGCCACCCACCGGGTCAGTGCTTTGCTCAGCCCATTGACACTCTTCGAGCGGCCTACGACGTCTACGGCCCTGACTGGCTTCCTTTTGTTCACACGTACGGTGGCGCTTTGTGGGGCATGTCTGCTTCTCAGTTACTTGATCTCTTAGGAGCTGCTCATGCTATGTATGCTGTTGTTGACTCTAATGCTTCTGACCCTGTTAACTCGCGTGTTTTTAGCTTAGGTGCTAGTGTTGATCCTGTGCCAGTTGCTAGTGTAGGTACTTGCTTAGGAACTAGACCAGGTGCTGCTCCGGAGGACGCTTCGCTGTCTTTCACTCTGGACTCCGGAGCTTCGCACTGTTTCTTCCGCGACCACACGACTCTTATTCCGCTTCCTGCGCCGGTCTCCGTAGCACTGGCTGATCCCACTTTGGGACCAGTCACTGCTCGCTACACTTCTACGCTTCCATGTCCGACTGTTCCCTCGGGTTTCCTGACCGGCTTTCACGTCCCCTCGTTCTCCAGGAACTTGGTGGGTGTGAGGCCGCTCGTGGACAGTCACGTGGGTGTTTGGTTTGAGCCTTCTGGGGACTCTGCGACCTGTGTAGACGGTGACACGTATGCGCCTCTGGCCACCTTTCACGCTGAGCCGGGCTCTGGTCTCTACACACTTCACACTGGCCCCCGAGAGAGGCAGTAGCAGCTGCTGCTGCCTCCGACCCCTGTCACTGCCCCCCGTCAGGTTCCCGCGTCTCACCAGTTTGCCGCCTCCCACCAGGTAGCGGTGTCTGGCAGGGTTCCAGCGTCTGGTCCGGTTGCTGCGTCTTGCTCGTGTCGGTCGCTTGCCCACCCCACCGTTCTGTACCATTACCGCCTTGGTTGGGCACCCGTCCATTCCTCGCCTGCGCACTATGTCTAGTCAGCGTCTCGTCGTAGGCCTCCTGCAAGCCTTGCCGTCGCTGCCACCTTCGCTTGCACCACCTTGCGCCCCTTGCGTCGAGGGTCAGCTGCGCGCCACCCCTCAATCCTCCTCCCTTCGCCCGACCACCAAGCCCTTCGAGACTCTCCACTTGGACGTCTGGGGCCCCGCCTCTCGCCCTGGCCCTGAGCGAGAGAGTTTCTTTCTGGTGGTCGTTGACGACTACTCTCGCTACACCACCGTGTTTCCTCTGGTGAAGAAGTCCGACGTGACTTCTACGCTGATCCGGTGGTTGCTCACCACCGAGGACACTCGTGGCCGTCGTGTCGGTTGTCTTCACTCCGACCGGGGTGAGTTTTGCTCAGGCTTTCTCGCCGGGTTCTGTCGCGAGCAGGGCATCCGTCAGTCCTGGACGCTTCCAGAGTCCCCACAGCAGAATGGGGTTGTTGAGCGCCGCATAGGCTTGGTGATGGATATCGCACGCACCTCCATGATTCACGCCCGTGCGCCCCATAATCTGTGGCCCTACGCGGTTCGGTACGCCGCTCATCAACTGAACCTCTAGCCACGTTTCTCCGGGCCAGGGGCTTCACCGACCAGTCTTTGGACCGGGTCCCCTGGTGTTGCGTCGCGTTTTCGTGTCTGGGGCTGCTTGGCACTTGTTCGCGACACCTCCGCGGACAAGATCTCGCCTCGCGCCATTCCCTGTGTCTTCCTTGGTTTTCCCGAGAACTCCTTTGACTTCACCTTTTACCACCCTCCCCTTCACTGGTTCTTTGATTCCCGTAACGTCCGTTTTGACGAGTCCGTCCCCTACTACACCCGGTACCCCTGTCGAGGTCTCCTAGTACCTCCTCCCCTTCTCTTCCTGACTCCCACTCCCCCTCCGGCTCCTCAGGAATAGCCTCCCCCCCCTGGTCCAGCCCCGTCAGGTGTGTCACACGCTACCCCCCCCCCCGGTAGCCCCTCAGGTCTCGTCCCCATCTTCGCAGTCCTCCTCACAGTCACCGCAGCACCGTCAGCCCTTCCTCCTCAGGCTGTAGAAGACCTTGACGGTGCTGGTGTCAGTAGCGCGGACCCTGGAGGTGCTACCTCTGGAGGTGTTGGAGTTGTAACTGAGAGTGTACCTGCACAAGGTTCTGGTGCTAGGGGTGCTGGAGTTGGAGCTAAGCCCGGGTCTGCAGGAGGTTCTAGTCTTCGGGGAGCTGGTGTTAGTCGAGCTGTCCCTGGGGGTGCTACGACTTGGGGTGCGGGTGCGCCCAATACTGGACCTGGAGAGTCTGGGACTGGCAACGTTGCTGCTGGTGGTGCTGGCTCTGGGGGTGGTGCTACTGGTGCTTTGGAGAGCGGTCCTAGGGCTACCACCGCCCCGGACACTACTCCTCCCCCCCACCCCTACCCGACCCGGCACCAGGCCCGTCTTCGCCGTGCACGTAAGGAGCAGCTGGAGTTGGAGCAAGAGGGGCTAGAGTTGGAGCGGCAGCAGCTGGAGCTTTAGCAGCTGGAGGAGCGGCAGCAGCCGCCACAGCTGGAGCAGTTGGAGGAGCAGTAGCAGCAGGAGCGGCAGCCGTCGCAGCAGGAGCAACAGCAGTAGCAGCCGCCACCTCCGCCGCCTGTCTCTGCCCTTCGGGCTCTCGGTCTCCCCTCTCCCTCTCCTCCCTCCTCCCCCTCTCCTCCTGTCTACGGTCCCACGTTTCCTCCTCCTGACCCCACCCCAGCTGTTTTCCCCCGTTCTCAGCCTCCGTTGTCCCCTCCTCTTTCTCACACTTGGGCTTCTCGCTCTCCTCGTGCTCGTCCCTCGTCCCTTGTCCCTGTCACTGACCTTCGTATTGTCCTGTTCCGTCCTAGTCCGCCTCGTTCGTCTCCGTCTGTGCTTCCTTCTCCTCCTGAGTCGGCCCTCACTGCTTCCCTCTCTACTCCTGTCACTGACTACTACCGCACGTACCGTCCTGTTCTCTCTCGTGTTCTCGCCTCTCTTGTTACACACTCTCGTGGCTGTCTGTCCTCTATCTGCGCCATTACTACCGCAGTCACTAAGTTCGCCACTACTCGCTGCCTTGACTACGCCACTTGTCTCGTGGCTGCTCCTCCTACCAGTCCTCTGGCCGTCGGGGGTGAGTCTGCCCTTGGCTGTGACGCCCTAGAGGACAGACAATTTGAGCTGCAGTTCTTGGCAGCCGCTTCCCCTCATCTCTGTGCCATGCTGCTCGCCCATGAGTGAGACCCCGACGCCCTTGACATACCGACTCCTCGCACTTACGCTGAGGCAGTGTCAAGGCCTTGGGCCTCTCAGTGGAGAGCTGCCATGGACTCAGAGATGGCCTCCTACAGATCCACAGGCACCTACGTCGACGAGGTTCCCCCCCTGGGGCGAACGTAGTCGATGGCATGTGGATCTTCAGGGTGAAGCGGCCACCGAGATCTCCTCCGGTCTTCCAGACACACTATGTGGCTAGAGGTTTCAGTCAGCGCGAGGGAGTTGACTTCTTTCAGACCTTCGCGCCTACCCCAAAGATGACCACTCTTCGGGTGTTACTGCACGTAGCAGCACAGAGAGACTACGAGTTACACTCTCTCGACTTCTCCACTGCCTTCCTTCAGGGTAGCCTACACGAGGAGGTCTGGTTGCGTCGTCCCTCTGCCTTCACTGGCACTTTCCCTCCTGGGACCCAGTGGAGGCTGAGGCGACCGGTCTACGGTCTCCGTCAGGCACCTCGTGAGTGGCACGACACCCTTCGCTCTACCCTGTCGGACCTCGGTTTCCAGCGATCTTCTGCTGACCTGTCTGCTGACAGGGTTGCTTTGGCTGACCTGAAGTCCAAATTGCAGAAGAGACACACGTGCACTGACCTTGGTGAGCTACGCCACTACCTTGGCCTGCAAATCACCAGGGACAGAGCCGCTCACACCATTACACTCTCACAGCGGTTCGAGCAGCAGCACTCCACAGTACAGCGCACACCTCTTGCCGTTGACCACAGACTCACTGGTCCCTTTCCTGACGAGCCGTTTGAGCCTAGTGGTCCTTACGCAGAGGTTTTGGGCTGCCTGATGTACCTGATCGCTTGTACTCGCCCAGACCTCGCCTTCCCTCTCAGCATCCTTGCTCGATTTCTTGCGCCAGGGAGACACCGTCCTGTTCATTGGACAGCTGCTGTGAGGGTGGCGAAGTACCTAGCGACGACATCAGGCGTGGGGCTGGTACTTGGAGGGACACAGCCTGTCGTACTTACTGGTCACTGTGACTCTTCTTACGCTGACGACGCCGAGACTCACATGCCTACTCAGGGGTATTGCTTCAGCCTAGGCTCTGAAGCTGTTTAGTGGAGGTCGCATTCCTCCTCTGTCTCGACCTCTACCGCTGAGGTTGAGGTCTACGCTGGAGCCATGGCTGCATAGGAGCTGGGCTGGTTGACCTTCTTGCTCACAGACCTTGGTGAGCGGCCGAGCTCTGCACCGACCTTTTTTACTGACAACAACGCTACGATTCTCCTCTGTCGAGAGCCTCGACTGGAGAGCAGAGTGAAGCACATCAACATCAGGTACTTTCTTCTGCGAGAGTTGCAGAGGCGTGGACAGGCTCGCTTTGAGTTTGTAGAGTCCGAGGCCAACACTGCAGACATCTTCGCCAAGACTCTTCCGCCTTGTGACCACCACATGTGTTGTGTGCAGTTAGGTCTCGTTGGCAGCAGGGCCTACGTTATCAGAAATATTTTGTCTGTTTGTCTGATAACCTAGACATGTCGTTTAAACCCATCTGATTTTTAAGACCATGTTTTTGTATTTATCTGAATTCTTAGACATCCTTATATAGTTCGGCTGAGACTGCAGATATCGAGTCGTCTCTCGTCTGAAGGTAAAAGTTTCGCAGACCAGGAGGATGTCTGCACCGCCTCGCAGAATCAAGCATTCGAACCCAAACCCTTAGTCTTCACAAGTCCCGATTCTACTGACTGGACCATTGGAAGCTGTACATTGGTGTCAAGATAGTAGCTAGAGGTGAGGAGCCATGCTAGGGTGAAGAGGAGAAAGTGACGAGAGAGTTTAGGCAAGGAAAGAGGGGTTTCACTATAGCACACAAGGTACATATAGCAAAGTAACATAGAAGGTGCACCACCAACTCTTAATAATAATAACTACAGTACCTACAGCACGCAGGGTATATATTAAACATATTGTTTGACACACCCCCTTAGCCTGCGTGCGGTAGAAACTGGTGCAGCCAGCACCCCCTGAACGAGCAAACCAAGCGCTGTGGAAGAAGGCAGAGAAGTGAGGAAGGTGAGAGGAGAGGAGAGAAGAGGAGAGGAGAGGAGAGGAGAG